GAAGAAATACTGTGTAGCAGCACTTTATACAGCCTCTTCAGACAAGGCTTAGTTAATAAATGTTTTTTTTAGTTTGTTTTGTTTTAAATTAAGACTGTGTAACCTTTGTTATCATTCTTATTTTTATCATGTTAATGGAGGGAGGAAGAAAAAGTAGTATCGGCTTCAAGAATCGGCCAGAAAATATCGGCTGCAGTGTTGTTTTAGTCACTCTGTATTTATGTATTTTTTTCGTTATTCAAAATACTGTGTTAGATGAGTTTTAATGGTGCAACTTCAAACTAACATGTAATATTCTTTTACACTATTTTAACCAGACTGTACCTGGCTTCAATGCATTTCAATGAAAATGCATGTCTGCTGGCAACTACCTCATCTGGAGAGCCCATGTAGATTATTCTTTCCCAAGTTCAAGAAGGGAGAAGGCACAGCAAATCCTATCAGAACTCCTGAAACCCTATGTAAGTCTAACTACATTAGTCACTTTTAGTATGCCAACTTGATTTCAATAAATCAATATCATCTAATACTTTAATTATATCTCCCTTATTCAAAGTCGTGTCACAAGGGCATGTGATGTGTGAAAGTGTTGAATGAGAAACTTTTCCTGAAAATATTAAACAAAAATTACCAAAATAAGTGACGCTTTACTGTTTCTACTATGCAAAGACTGCATACATTTTAATGTTGTTGATGTTTTCCAGACTGCACTGTGGATTCATCTCCAGTTGTCACAGACAAGGCCAGCATCTCCACACCACCTCCTGATGCACGCGTTTTCACTACACATCCGGATGCACGCATCTTCACTACACATCCTGATGCACGTGTCTTCACTACACATCCTGATGCATGCGTCTTCACTACACGTCCTGATGCCACATCTTCACTACATGTCCTGATGGACGCGTCTTCACTACACATCCTGATGCACGTGTCTTCACTACACATCCTGATGCATGCGTCTTCACTACACGTCCTGATGCCACATCTTCACACCACCCTCTGCACCACATCTGAACTCAGTCCACACCCAGTGGGAGGACCCTTCACAACAGGATCACACATACTTCCACACATCTTGCAGAAAGGACGTGCAGGACAAGATGACTCAGTGTGATGAGGTTGCATATTTGTGACCCATCAAATCAAAATGAGGATTAAGTCGAATTTGGTCAAAATGACCTAATTACATTTTCAGATTCT